ATAGACCTTTTTTATAGGAAAAAAAAAATATCATATAACAGTAAAGAGATGAAGATCTTGTAAAGCCTATTTCAGCATCCAAAAAGTCCTACAAATTGGATTAGGAATTATGCAATCTTCTATACTGAATGGCACAAACTAATAAAAAATGACCAGCTTAGTCAAATTGACCAAACTTCCATTTAATTAGAGAAAAGAAAGACCAATTAGTAAGGCATTAACAGTAATTACTTGGTAAATTGACTTTTTGCTCAGAAGCTCTGCAAATATCCATTCTTGTCTTGAACAACTCTTTGGCAAAATACTTAAAAGAGCCTGTAAACAGGAAATATTGATGGTTGAGAGGATATGGAGATATGGCCTGTATGCAAAGGTTCTTATTGCAATTTTTTTATTTTTCCTTCCTGAAGCAAACCTTTTTTTTTTTTCTTATTTAGAATTCATTAGATTATCAATATGCCATGAATCACACTGATTATTTTTAAAAATTTATAGCTTATTTCAATTAATTTAATAACTTTCCACTGTTCTTACAGCTTCTGTTTCTTCGTCCTGTCGCAATTCTCATAGTATATAATTTAACAATCATGAACCTGCTTGGTTTATATATTTATATCATGTATCCTTCTGCTGTAAATCTTCGATTCAGATAGATGTTTCCTTGGTGCATTACTCGATAAAATTTCTTACCTTTTTATTTTGTAATGTGCTTTTCTTGTGGTGTTTAATGAAGGTATTGCAGTGAGCTGATAGGGAAGAAGGGTTGAATGGGATTGATTGCTGCGTTCGAGCTAATAAAAGTCTTGCATGATAATAAATTCTTCGAATCAATCTTCATATCAGCTCTTGTTCTTTGCACAAAGTTGTCTTTGTTTCACCTGTGAGATATGATTCAAGAACAAGTTTCGATAATTGAACAGTTCAACCCTTGCAATTTTTATGGAAGAGAGGACATCACTAAATCCCTCGCAAGCTGAGAGTTGCAGACAAAACTTGGTTTTTGAGTAATGTCAAGCAAGATGACATATCACAGTGGACATAAATTTTATATATATATATATATATATATATATATATATATATATATATATATATATATATATGTAT